CTATCTAAGAGAATATTTTGTATAGTATATAGTTCATTCTCGATGACTTCCTTGGAACATAGTCTGATAGCCCTTAAAAATGAAGTCTTGACTAGACTCTTTTATAAGCGAATGGAAAGAAACTGTTGAATGGCAAATATTGACCGGTCCAAGTAGGCTTATGATAATTTCTGTGTAGTATAGAACCGTCTTCATATCTTTTAATAATCAAATCTAAGAAATGTATTCCATCTGACGTTTCACGCTTACATGTGAATTTCACGTCTGAATGAAGTGAATTGAAAGGTCTGAGTAAGCTCACTGCATGGTCTTCACTCTCACATATAATGAAAGTATCATCTACATATCTTAAATACAATTTTGTCTCTTTTATCACATCACTTAGTTTGGTATTCTCTAAGTGGCTTAGGAATATGTCTGCTAATATGGGGCCAAGAGGACTTCCCACAGCCATACCTTCTGTCTGCCTGTAATACAAGCCATTAAAATAGAAATGAACATTTATTATCCATAACAGATCTTTCAGTATGTTAGATGGAAAGTTTATCATGTCAGTATGACTATATATGATATCAATTGTTTCTCCAAGTGGTACATTCGTGAATAATGATTCAACATCAAAAGAAACCATATGATCTTTGCTTGTATAAATATTATCAATCGTACTAACCAATTCAAAATTATCCTTCAAGGTATGGACAGTTAGTACTTTCCTGATAGGCTCAATTAACTGAGCAAGCCATTGCACAAGTTCATGGTATGGGAAGTTCGGCATGGCTAATATAAGACACCTTATGATTCACCTATGTTCCCATATATATATGTATTGATGTTTAGGCTTGAAAGATGTATTTAGTGTTGTTTTCTGCTGAAATGTACCAAATGACTTGTGCTGAACACTGACAGGTTACTATACAAAATTTTAAATTTAGTGCGTATGTGGAAGATTTAGAGCATAAAAAATGATTCCGATTTATCCCATAATATTTGTTGTTTTTGCCTTTCAAAAACTTCGAAGTTGTTGATCTAAATACAGTCACATGAAAAACAGACTGTTTCTATCAAAGAGACATTTGTGAAGAGTGATATGACATCCAAAGATAACATTGGCTTTCCATATATGTTGGCATCGTCTTGGGAATTACCCCTCTCGAGTGAATCAAGCGTACTGTAGATATTGATCTGAATTTTTATTGCCTAAAGAAGTTCCATTAACCTTTTTTTTTTATCCTGTAGTAAAGCAAATTATTCGTGTCAGGACTCGAACGTAGAGGGACATGTTCCTTAAGCACTTTGAGGAGAGCGTGTAGCCAGGATATGACAGAACCAAATGATTTTAGGTGTTCAGAAGACTCAATACTGATGGTTGGTTCATCTTTGATTTTCTCTAGGATGTTTTCTTCCCATCTGTTCTATTTGTTCAGTTGTGTCTTTCCGATCAGTTTCTTTCCAAAATTTTTATTCATCTGCCAATGTGTACGACACTTCATCAACGTTTTTTCTGCGATTCATAAGGACTATACCAGTGCCTTTGTTAGTACGGACCAGAAGTTCATTGAGTTGAGTTTTTCGTTTTTCATACAATAGTACCCTAGTATGTTATTCATCTTCACGTGAATAAAGCAGCAATTCAGAATATTTGACTTATATTGTTCAAGACTGTTAATGGAAGTGGGAACTGAATTGTTACACTGGTTAGTTAGACTTCCAAACTGAACCTCTGTATCAAGGGAATTTACAGATGTCGAAGTATGACAAAATTTTGAGCAAAACAAGAGTGCCTGCAGTCAGAATGTAGATAAGGATATATTCAAACATATGAATATTATTTCTCAGGACTTTAAGAAAAACGTGATTGGAAATCTGTTGCTTTGAGACTTATCATGATCTCCAGGTCTAAAACTAATGAGTATTTCTTCACAACTACTTCTATGTTTGAAATTCGAGTTCACCTAATAATAAATGCACTTTGTTCAGATGTCAATTCGTCAACAATGCTCAAAGGGGTAGAGTACAGATGAAAGAACATAACGTTTTACATTGTATAAACGTGAATCAAATATGCATTTCAAAAAGAACGGATTCTTAGTATTCATTAACAATTGTCTCAAATATGAGTCCGATAAGAAATAATCTAGTTAAGACATAAAAATGGAATTTAACTTTATCATCGTATATTCAAGCTTTGAGTAAATACGTTCAAATTCGTACGAAATGCACTGAAAGCAAACTACTTCAATCAGTAACACAATAGTACACAAAAAACTTGGTTTAAAACACAGTTCTGTTTAGTTACTATGAAATATGTTACTTTATGGTTTTATAAATTCTGGCAGTAAAGTCAGTCACTATTGCAAGCGTTTTAAACTTGACTCGTGAAATCATGACCAATTTAACTGTCTACTTTTTGCGTTTGGATTACAGTCACCATTTGATATTGATGTTCATACATAAATTTTATCATATAAAAAACCTCTCTGTAACTCTAGAGGATGTAACTTCGGAACACTAACGCCTAATCCCTTTTAAAATTGATACTGTATTAATTAGGAATAAACATACTAGAGGTGCACGTCTATAATGTTCTTAAAAGAAATCAGAAAAGTTTCTTTAGTTATCATTGTTGAATCATGGAAACCAAATCAATTGGTTGGCACTATGGTTATTTGTATTTCAGTGGTAATTGTCCTAATAAAAAGCACAAATCCAGTAAACCTCTTCGATGTCGATAAAAAGATGGTTTCTACAAGATATCCGATCATGGTAATTAGCTACCAAAAGGGTCCAGATCAGTTTCTCGTAAGCTTATCCGGTTTTCTTTTGATATTTCCAATATCCAATTAATTAATAGTGGAAAAATATGTTTCAAGCAATATCTCCTTTAGTCTCTAAATGCACACTACCTCTGATATCTTTATTTTACAAGATACACGGTTCATAATCAGGTGTTCGTCACAACCAAATGCTAGTCGTGTTAGAACTGCTTCATGTGGTTTGCAAAAGTTGACTATTGAAGTGCAGTTTTTCACCTATGTAGAAGCATTTCCAAAGAGTGTGCTGTATCATATACCGTCAAGATTTTAAATGAATTGGCGCTGACTGGGTCGATATATCTACTACATTCTATTTGTTTTGAGTCATCCTCTACAACGTCTGATTGTACTGCAGAGACAGGTACTGCTAAATACTGAAATGAAATATTCCAGCCCAGAAAAAAGGATAAGAGATAAGACTTTCAAGAAACACTATCTTCAGCGTGCAAAATGATCTCACACAACCTAGTTTCAGCATCGTTACTGGAACCATAGCGACGTAATGAGGAAGTTGAAAAAGTCAAAATCAAACAAGAAGCCGGAGTCATTTCTTGGAAAACATCGTAGACAAAGTACATTTTTTGTCACACAGTAAATTCTCGTTCGTCATTTTACAACTGATATCCTCCTTTGGGTGCAAGGTTTCATTATTGACCGATAGAGTCCGGTTATCTACATGATGCTCAATATAACGTGTTAACACTGAGGTAAGTTCAAAGTGGTAGGCATGTCTTTGACACAAAGAACCTGAAATCATCGTTAGCAACCTTGATGTATGAATTTAAACTTTGAAATCCAAGCTGATCACCTAAGAGAACAACCAAAAATATGATTTTAACAAGAATAGAAACAGTGCACTAACCAAGTAAATATTTCCGGCTAAAATTGAGATACGAATACCACACAAACTGTTACTTCAGTAGGGGAGAGACATGAGGACTAATATCAAATGCTTGATAACCTATCCACAGCTGCCTGATTTTCTTCCCAAGTGAGTAGGCGTTCTTCCCTTTTTCTGTAAGACTACTTTGTCAAAGAACGAATGGATGAAGCTTCCAAATTTATCCAAAAGGTGGACAAAATCCCAGCTAGTAGATATTTGAATTAACAGTATGTTTCAGTCGCAATCTGATATGCACTTTCAGCGTATAATAAGCATGCATCTAGGTATCGAGTTATTCCACTCTATGTAAGTGGATCACAATCTTTGGGCAGTTATTAATAACGAGATGAGAAGTAACTACCAACACTCGCCATTTATTGAACTCCATTATTAGACACCATGCTGACAAAACTTTACCAGTAAACATTCAAATCAGCAGTGATAAAGTTTCCTAGAAAGATAAGCCTCGAACCACTGATTCTCTGGTTCGCACTTATGCTTGTCATTGGTATCCCAAAGCTGTTTATGCTGAGATATTCAAGCTGTTCAGACTATCTTAAATCTATAATCTGCTTGGTGTTGGCTACTAGTGGAATTCAGGTACAAAGGAAGAAATGTTTATGATTAACATGTGGTAAACTACTAGTTAAATATGGCACACCTTGCACTAATACAGCTACTTGCAAAATGTGCTTCATTTCCTCTTCTGCTTCTTTCTTGATTCGCTATTCATACGCCCGCGTTGCCTCTTGTGTTTCTTTTGGTAGGATCCTTACCCATTATTCGTAATTCTCTGTGATTCTCCCCTCCTCTCAACATATGCTACTTATATCCATTCTTATCAGCAGCAACCACTACACCTGCATCCCAGTAAACTGCGGTGCTCCCACTGAGACTCCAATCCAAAATCCATCGCTTCAAACGCCAGAGCCTTGTCTACCCATCCACTACTGACACTCAGTGTCCCACAGGAAATAATAATATAGCAGGTCTAACCGGTTGACACAATATATGATTTTAATCAAACCAACATTACACTTTAAACACTTTCAAAAGGAATTCATATATCAAAGGCGTGAAATAAGTCGACCGTAGGTACATAACAGAGTGTACTAACATAACAACCATCACTCAGTTGGGAACAACTGTTATGTATTAGTTTGCTTTTTGGTGCTCTAGTGTTTAAGGTTATGAATATTGATTTTGAATCAGTCAAAAAGCAATTTCGACCAGGAAATCATAAATAGGGAAGAATAAACATGTAACATTCCATTTCTAATTTATTCCCAAAACATTTTGCTTACTCATCTTTACGTCTTCCATATGCTCATCATAAACGGGGCAATAAGGATGTTTGTCGATAGACATCTCCACAATGCGTTTCAGTGCTTCTCTAGACAGGACGTAACCTGCTCCACCAGAAAAATAACCATTTCTGACATGAACCTAGGTAAAAGGAAGGAAGTAAATTTAAAAAATCAATCCAAAGATAATAGTCAAGGTTCCTTAATATTTTACAGATAGAAATGATTCTAAAAATGCTTGAGAAAATATCATCATTGCCAGATATATTTTAGAAGTTAACAAAAGCTATTTGGATATATACACATATATTCCAAATTGTACCACAAATTGTTTGGAATAAAGTGAATTATTATTACTATTATTATATTCTAGGTTGTAAGCAACTGAAGAGAATTTCCAAAATAATAGGATGCATATATATTATTCAGTTCTAATGCTTGTTCTTGCTCTTTTAAAGTTGACAAAGGAAAATAGGTGCATCAACTAAGTAAGAACCTAAATCTCTCTAAACCTGATAAAAGGGTTAGATGAGCAATCGATTTTATTATTTGATATTTATTATTTGTCCCTTGGGTTCCTAATGGAACATAGGGCTTCAGTAGCACGTCTCCAATGCGCTCTGCTCTCTGAAATCTTTTGAACCTGGCTTCACGACAGCCCACAAGCTCTCATTTCCTCCTCGCACCATCTCCTCCATGTCACCCTCGGCACCAACGCCAAATTCGTCGCTTCCCATTGGGGTTCCACTCGAGTGACTGTCCTGACGCATGATGTCCCCAATCGGCCTTCTCAGTGTATGCCCAATCCAATCCATCTCCACTTCCTTCAACTGCATATTTGTTCAGCGATAGGTTCTTGGTTGGTTCGTTACCAGCCAGTCAGAGTTCCTTGTTGCTTATTCTTATTATTCTGCCCATCCGATCTTCAGTATCGAGTCAGCGTAGGCGGCAGTTGTTGATGAATGTCTGTAGTTTGTTGGAAATGCTTTTCGTAACTCACCAAGTCTCTCAATCATCACACAGAAGCACTGACTTGACTGAATTGGTGTTGAAAATCCGGATGTTGTTCCCGCTTTATGTTTAGTGCAGAAGATCTCCACACTTGTTCCAGGTTAATGAACGCCTGTCTTGCTTTTCTGATCCTGACTTTGACGTCCTCGTTTGTGACGCTGCCCATAGTTGAAACAGTGCTGCCTAGATAGGTGAAGGAGGCTACTTCCATTGAGTTTCTCCCGTTGATGGTGATTGGTGTTTGTTGTTGGTGTGGTATCTTCACCACCTCTGTCTTCTCTACGTTCACTTGAAGTCCCGTCTTCGCTATCCCGCCCTTTCTGCCAACTTGTTGGATTTTGCCTGTAGATCTTCGAGTTTGTGTGACATCAGCACAAGTCATCGTTGGCGAAATCCAAGTCTTCTAGGATTTTTCCGCGGTCCAGCGTATCCCCCTCTTCTCGCCCCTCACTGTTTGCTCCATGATCCCGTCCAGTCGACCACAATCAGGAATATCATGGGTGATAGTGGGCAACCTTGTTTCACTCCTGTCTTCACTTCAAAAGCATCACTGAGATTCCTATTGTGAAGTACTTGGCCGGCATGTGGCATCTTCATACAATTGTTGAATGAGGTTGATAAAGGTTTGTGGTATTCCATAGTGTTGGAGCAACTGCCAAATTACTTCTCGGTCGACGCTGTGGAAGGCCTTCTCAAAGTCGATGAAGTTGGGGTAGAGTGATTTGACTGACATTCTATGCTTCGTTCTATGATGATACGTAGAGAAGCGTTGCAATTTGGTCTGCACATGATTTGTACTTATCTAATCAAGCTAGCCTGCCTGTTCCAGTCGTAGTTTTGAATCCAGTTCTTCTTTTACTCTCTCCAGGATGATGTGACTTAATATTTAGCTTGCTCTGGGTGGACAGGAGAGTGATTCTGCGCCAGTTCTTGCAAACACTGAGGTCTCCCTTCTTCGGCAGTTTGACAAGGTAACCCTTCTTCCAATCAATGGCCGGGTACCTTCTCTTCCTTCCACACCTTCTGCAATAGTGGTGTAGTGTGAGCATGCCCGCTGTTGTCTCTGCATCTGTTCTCAGTGCTTCTGGCGGGATCCCATCTGGTCCTGCTGCTTTCCCGCATTTCAGTAGCTTTATGGCGTTCAGGACTTCCATTTTTGTTGGAGGATTTGTGTTCACTTGTAGTCCTGTGGCTGGGCTGTAGGTGGTATTTCTGGACGAAGTGCAGGTGGTGGTGGTGGTCGATTCAAGAGCTTCTTGAAGTGGTCGACCCATTGTTTCCTTTGTTTCTCTTCTTTCGTAATTAAATTTCCTTCATCATCTTTTATTGGTTTCGTCTGCGTTGATCTCTTCCCAGATAGTAACCTGGTTATTTGATACAATGTCGTCAGGTCTCTCCTACATGCAGCCTGTTCTGCTTCACTTACCAGTGTTTCGTAGAAGTGTCTCCTGTCTTTCCACCCACTCTTCTTCACTTCTTTGTCCAGTGTAGTATTTTATACATTGTACTCAGTTCCTCTTGTCGTTCAGCATCCTTGCACTGGTTTATCTTCTGCTTCACCATCCTCCTCTCTCTCCTCTATGATTGAGATCCATTCCTTATCTTCTTCCTTCCTAATACGGCTGTGCAGGTTTCTTTCCACATCTCTTTCAAAGACTTACAGTGTTCTTCCACACAGGTTTCTTCAGGGATGTTCTTCGATGTCTCCCATTTTGTCCTGATGACTGACTAACGTGAAGATTTCCTTTGTAGTTTCATCCTTCAGTTTCCGAGTGTTGTACTTGAACTGTGGTCTATCACCAGCTTCCCTGAAGGCTTACAACTTGATTTGGAAGGTAGGTTCCTTGCACTAGACAGTGAGTGGTCTGAACCCACATCTGCTCCTCTTCTTCACTTTGTGTCAAGTAGGCTGCGTCTCCACTCTCTTCACATTGAGATGAAGTCGATCTGATTTTCAGTGTGTCCATCTGGTGAAGTCCATGTCGCTGGCTTTGTGGATATCCTTATGCTTGAACGCACTGCCTGACTCCAATCACCAAATCGTTGAATGCACACAATTCTGCAAACAATTCTCCATTCTCATTAATCACCTCACCTAGTGCTTCTCGACCCATGGTTAGTTATCTTCCTGTGTTGTCCCCTCCCAGTTTGGCATTCATGTCGCCCATTAGAATTTTCATATCGCCAACTGGAGTGAGATCTTGTCCAGTGTTGATGGCAGTTGTCTTTAGAATTCCTCCTTCCTCTCTTGGTCCGCATTATTTGTAGGTGCATAGCGTAACATTGTATGATTGTATCTTTCGTTCCTTTTGAGTTGATCCTCGCTGTCATGATCCTGCAAGAGGAGATTGGTTCCCACTGCATGAGAAAGAGCCTTCGATGCTCTTCAAGGGGACATCATGATAGCCACTCCAACACTCAGTGTGCTCGTGGTTGTCGTCTGGGTGACAATATCGGAGTAGATTATTGATTCTCATGTTGACAGACTGAAGATTCCACTCCCATTCCATCTGCTTTCGCAAATTCCAAGCACTTCGATGTGATACCTCTTCATCTCATTTGCAATCTGGGCTGCCTTGCTGGGTTCAAACATCGTGCGGACATTCCATGTCCCCACGTTTACTTTCGCTTTCATCGAGAGAAGACACATCGGCCAATTGGCTTCCCGAAGGCTTTCATCAACTGGCTTCATTTCGCCTCTCCGATTCCATTGAGGAATAATTTTATTTTTATCTTTTATATTTTGTTTGTGCTTTGAAGTTTCTTTAGCGGTTAGACTTGTTTTACGGGGTAGGGTTGCTAGTCCTATGCACAACCTTCCCTCTTTACCTGGGCTTAGGAGCGGCTAGTAACTAGTGAACTAGTTAACCAGGGGAGATTGAGCAAAGATGATTACGCAAATAAAATGAAAGCAGTTTCGAGAAATGCCAGTTAACAGATAAAGTCAAAAAAGATTTTATCATATTATTGAAAACCTAAACAGACAACTACTACATTTCATCGATCGCACAAAAGATGTATATGCTACCTAAAGTACACAAACCTGAGTCATTTCTTTGACTTGTCCTGAACATACTAAATTCGCCTTGCCAAGCGATCGTAAAATGGCTGATCCAATTGCTCCAACATTTGTTTGATGAGTTCAGAAAAAATGGCGTCAAAGATGCTTTCAAAGTTATCAATAGAATACAAAAAGTAAGTGTAACAAACTAATGTATGACACTCCTTGAATATCTCAGTTTATTTGGGGTTATATCCCAGCAATCTGACTGTGAATTATAATTGCAAACAGTTACAGAAGAAAAAGTAGGGTGCTAGTGTTTTTATTTCAAATCTGAATGAACTATTACTAAAATATTCAATGAACGTCCAGTTCCTGTTCAGTATTAACTTTTATAGATAAATTGATACATTTATCATGAAATATATATTAAGTCCTACATTCACCTGTATTTTCTTCAGAAAATCAGAAAACAACTTGGTGAAAGATGAAATTACCAATATGAAGTTCTAATACCGATAAGTAAATAATATGTTTTTAGTCTGTCATAAGTGCTTCTGTAGTAATCAACAGCATACATCTCGTATTTTATTTGCCTTATGAATATAAAGTGGGCATCTCTGTACATTTTCGTGATATTTTAACGACAATAAAGAAATGTGGCGCTACAGAAAATAATGTACATACAAATTCAACAACAGAGAAACAGAATACACACTTGCTCAGCTTTCACCGACTCAAATTCAAAGGCAGTATGATTAGAAGTCTAACATGAATAGTAAGAAAAGGTTGCTTCAAAGTGTGTTTACAGAAATAACTACAGGCTATCCAAGGTAACTTAATCAAGAAAGAAAGATAGAAATTATCATTATTGCAAATATAGCTTGGGTAAATTCCAAAAATGAACAAATGATGCTATGAGAAATCCGTTAACTGTGGGTTAGAAACTAGGGTAAATATTTAAAAATCATATACAGTGACAACTCTGAGCTGAATTGGTAAAAGGAAAACATATTTACATCTTTCTCTAGTCATGCAATCTTCAGTGGAGAATATGACAGTATCTCAATGAATCTCAGTTCATCATTTTGCATGCATCAGCTGAAGTGATCATGTAGAGTAAGTTGAAAATACTGAGGTATTAGACAGGTTCACTTCGGAATACAAGAATGTTGCAATGGATGCTGGGAAAAGTGTAATATCATAGAAAGAAGATTTTACGAGTACGGAGATGGTAGACACCTTGTACAACATACACAAGCACTAAATAAATACGCGAAACATATCCTCCCAAAGGTGAACAATTTCAAGAAGTAAAAACGTATTTATCAGAAAAACTAGAAAGTTGTTGTAAATGCATAGCACGAATTCATTTTATTAGTTGTGTTACTTTTCAGGAAGCTTTTTAGCATACAACTCGGTTACAATAGACTTGTTCCTTTTATTTTTTCTTTATATCATCGAAGTAGAATACAGTGGTATAATTCAGTATGTCCCATAAACGTATCAAATCGTTTTCTTTGAATAATATCTTAGGTATATGTATTAAATGTTAGATGGGTGAATATCACAGATAGGAGGCCACGGACTTCGGTTTCTTTCTTGCTGCCTGTCTTCATCAAGGCGTATACCCAACCTCGAGAGAACTAACATCCTCCCAGAGATTCGAACCCATATCACCCAGTGCTAGGTTTAGAAACGTTACCACTGAGTTATCGCACCGTGACTGACCTCTTGTAGGACTTCAAGTGTATGGAGAGGTAGTTGCCACAGCGCTTTTCGAGCATGACGTATCAAATTTCAAGCATTTATGACATCTATGAGGTATCAAGATGAAAGGACATTGAGACATTCTAATTCGCAAAAAGCAATTTAGCAAATGAAATTTTCTTCCTGTTAAGTCATCTTTAGTAGCCGTACAGCCGTATTTATCATAATAGCAAGCAAGTAGGTAGGTCTATTATTGACTTATAGGTCAAGATTAGATCATCAAGACAGAACACTCCAGGAGGAAATAGTGAACCGTTTCTAGAATTAGAGAGAGATTGGGTTATCACAGGCACATAAAAAAATATGCCGTTGATCATAATGATGACTAATAAGTTAAAACAATTATTATCATCACCGTGGTCAATAAAAGGAGTTTAATACTACAAAAATTTTAATGGGAAATCAGAATAATCACATATGGATGTAAGAAAGTAAAAGCAATAGCACTAATCACCCAAAAAGTGTAAGGTGGATATTGAGACAATGAAGAGAACAAAGAAAGATCGTACCCACGGCAAAATAAAAGAATGAATTTACTCTCTTCGGTACACAGAGCTCAAACCTTAATTGTTGGATTGTCAACGGCTCTGACACATAAGTGACAAATCCATACTCTTTTGAGTCCTTTAGTGTGGATTCATTTAAGATTTCGGAAGAAAACTGTGAGGAAGCAACAGGATTAGAGTTAACCAAGCGGTCCAAGATGGAAATACAAATTGATCTGCGCACTCTTCTGGACAGAAAAAGCGGGAAAATGCTCGGGTACGCATGTGAAAAGACTGATCTTCCTGCACCCTACATAACCAGCCCAAGAAGACCAGGTAAACTGATAGACGCACATGGACGTAGCTCAAGGTCGTGGTTCGTCCCCCATGCCTGTGGAATTAGTTGTCGGCTACAGAAGACCGTTTACAGTTTGCCGGCATAGAATGCTTTCCTGGTTGCTTTAGAAAGACAATTTTTCAGTAGTTGTGCTGCGTTGTCCCTTTTAAATTCAATATTCCCAAACAGTAAGAACTATTTCTTGTGGCTTTTTGGCATCACGTTTCTCACAAAGGATCTTTAAAGTGGTCCATCTCTTCGTCTACTGTGTCACCTGTCCGAATTCCCCTTATTCTCGAACAGTGAAAATGAATTTTCTTTCTTCGGTTCATTGTTAACCAACTTTAGAAATGAGTATATTATCCATTTCAAGTTAGTTTCATGTAGACTGACCTTTTTAGAGACCCATGAGGTCTTCTCTTCAACGAAATATCAAGAAAACGAAATTCTGAGTTTTCTCAATTTCCATAGTGAAAGTGACTGAGGGATGACCCTCACTGAATTTAAAAAAGGTAGTATCAAGATCAAATTTAGCATCACAGGTAGTAGAACTATTATCTATGTATCTCCTACACACATGGAATGGATTGATAACTGAACATATTATGGTGTTTTCCAAGTTAGTCATGAAGCTATCTGCTGGAAGAGGGTCCAGTGATGACCCCATTCTACTCCATCACTTTGTCAATAAAATTCATAGTAGAATTTGAATGTCTCATTGAAAGTCGGTCGTGGAAGTAACTTCTTTAGATAGTGAGTTGGAACACTGGCTGCTAGAATCTTAGCTTCTGTGTGGTTACACAGGAAGTAAATGGTCTCTGTGAGTGGAACACCTGTGAAGAGTGAAGCGACATCCAAAGAGAGCATTCTTTTTCCAGATATGTTGAGGTTACTCATTGCGTCGACAAAATCAAATGAATGAAGTGAGGTACATCTGTTAATCCGGCTTCTCACTGGCTGAAGAATATCAGTCAGTCGCATGATACGCGGAATTATTAACATCCAAAACTGAACGGAGAGGAATATCCTTCTTGTATATCTTCGACAAGCCAGAGTAGTGAGATCACAAAGCCTGATGGTTTCAACTGTTTCAACAGATCGCTGCCAATGATAGACTGGTTTTTCATCTTTTTGAGGATTCTGATAAGCTTCTACTCAGTTTGTTCAACTGTTTTTCTGAACAGTTTCTCCTGAGAATTCATTTTCATGTGAGACTTTTGCAGAGTTGTTGTTGGTCCCTACCGATGAACGTTCTTGTATTGTCCTTAAGGAACAGCACGCTTATGTTGCAAAGCTGTCTTTCATACCATCAGCTAAAAGTAAATTTTCTAAAGAATTGTTCGGAAAGAATCAACTGAACAGACACAGCAATATTTGATCAAAAACCTCAAACAGATGAAAACATCTATCATTAGCAGTGATCTGTTCAGACTCGAATTCCGCACTACTCTCTGAAACATCAGAGCATTATCTAGCAGTTTACTGAGTTACTAAAGTCATCTCGTGCCTATCAGTCATCATTCTGTGTGCGATACTTGCAGAACAGAAGATTTATCACCCTTTAGTATACTTGACATCTAATGGATATATATTGAATGATGACGCAAACTAGGCGGAAATTATTTCTAAGGAAAAGAGTACATTCCTTTTCTTTTAATAGCCAAGAAGTAATCGTACATCATTATCTACAACATCAAACAGTATGTGTAAATGACAGTTTCTATACCTGAACTACTGACATTCAATTTTACCACAGACGCGTTCAGTGCACAGAGTTACAACCAAGCTTTTTACATTTTAAATTAAAGATAACTAAAAGGGATGTTTTATTTACCGGAAATCTATGACCCAACATAAACGGTGTATCAGGTGAATAATTCTGTAAAACATCCAATAGATTTTCCATAATTACATACGTATCGTCATCAGTTTTCAAAAATAATCGAAATCGTCGCGAAATTGGTAAATATAACGAAGTGCTGCCCGAATTTTACTCCACAGATGCATCCTTACTTCTGGATATGGTAGTTTTAAAACTGAATGCGTAAAAAAGCAAAAAGTTATTAAATAAAAATGTAATTGGTAAGAAAGTTAAGTTAAATGTTTTTTGCATCACAGAGTGACAGTATTCAATAGGTAAAATGATCTCATACCGATTTGCAATTTTATACACTTGGTCAAATCTACGACTCACATAGAAATCAGTTAAAGAACTATTAGAAAGTCAAAACTAATGGAAGGCTGTTAATTCCTGACTTAGGAATCTTAGAGATTACTTATTTCCAACCTCACTTGGAATAAATACTTGAAGCATCATACCATAAGTAAAATACATTGAAAATGAATGATTGTGCTGGATGTGAGAAATAATAAATAGAAATGAAGAAAACAGTTAAATACTACTCCAATTCTTAGCACTTTCAGTCAATAATATTGTGTGAGGAAAACCGACTGAAGATACAACCTCATTTATTTTTCTTTTATGATCGAATTAGTGAATAACCAAAACATACTGATGTAAAATGATCACAGTGTGCTTCCCATAACTACACTATATGATTGATAGTATAATTTATTGCTGAACTAAAACTAATATTTCTCATCCAAACCTAATAACTGCCTGAGCTGCATTTTGGCATTGAAAAAGCATTATGAATACTGCTTCATAGCATCGACTGTTTCTTCCAAAAGATAGTTTGTGAATAATCACAATAAGTTGTAGGAAAGTATCAATCTATGTGGTCTGTCTAGTTGCTCTATTCATCCGGCGAACTCTAAGGTATGTCTTAAACTATGAACACCTTATTCTTATCGAATAAGTTTCAATTTGGTTGCCACTCAGCACGCCACTTTCGAACAAGGCGGACACAGAAACACGAGACCGACTTTAAAGTATCACACAGAAATGCATCTGTTTAGGTTGCCACACCACCATGTGATATCAAAGTAGACAAAAGTGTGTGGGTGGAGGAAGGATATGAAAATGAAGGTTCATCAAAATGTCCAAACTTTAGATGCAAAAAACCAAACACATCTACGCCATTGTGGCCAGTATTAAGCTGTCACGAACACTTTCAGACCACCGATCTCTATTATCTCAAATCAAATCAGAGAGTCTACACCTCCATACATGGCTCAGAACAACAGCAAAATAATTAATTGATGTTGTCTTGGTCTGGCCACTCTGACCCTCCTTACAACCCAATCCAGTTTCCGCTGAAATCACACGTCTAGGTAGGCATTGGTTCAGTATGCGTATCACATATCAAGGCCACCTCAATCGCTGAAAATTCAAAACCTCGTCTACTGACTTGCCTAATTACCTTTGCCAACCCTCGACATCGCTCATTCGGTGATCCCACCATGCACAAGTAACCGTGAGAAGACACCTGTGATCAAAACGCCTAATCCCTTTGTATCTTCTACCTTCAACGGTAATGTCTGACAGTGGTGTAATAGAGTAAACTGTAATGCAGCGCAATATACTTGTTCATTAACAGGTAGTTGGATACCTCGCCGCAGGCTGAGATGAAGCAAGTTGGTAAATATCAAATGAGCCTTTTGTATTCGGGCTGAGATCTCATCAACAAGCAACTCATTCGAGCTGATGCAACTTTCTAAGTAAGCAAAGTGGTTGGAGCATTCTACCACCAGACTCTTCTGTCTTAAATTTGGATTAGGTGCAGCTCAGTCCTAAAGCAATCTCTTACATCTCATGGGTGCAAAACGTATGTCAACCATACTCGAATTTCTACTCAGTGTGTTCATGAAACTTTACTTTTTTCAGTATCGTCACATAACTGGACAATGTCATCAGCGAACTCTATGTCAACTAAGTACGCTTCGGGAAGTAGGTTTATTCCTGTGAAGTCTACAGTACCGATGGTCATGTCTATAAATACATTTGTAAAGACGTTAGATATAAACGGTGGGTATCCCTGGGAGATACAACTGGCTGCCGTCGTCTCGGAGGACATCTCTCCATAAGCTGTCAAACAGTTGTATGAGTTTGAGTAGAGAGCCCTGATCTACATAATACACTTCCTTGGCAATTTCTTCATATCCAGACACTGTAACAGCAACTCAAGGTCGACAAAGTGACAGGCGTCTTCAGGCCAGGGATTTTGCAAAAATAGGTTGCCTGTAAGTATTCCTGTTTTTCGAAATCTGATGAAGGGTGAATATTTGGTTGATGCATCCTCATCCAGGTCTGAAGCCTGCCTAATTTTCTCAAATTCGATGTTCATCAACCCCACTTAGACATTAGAAGCTATAAACCCATGGATCTTGGACACAATGTTGGTCAAAATGATTCCCTTATGGTTGTCACAAGAAATACACTGGAATATTCACTGAAGTAGATCAGTTCGATGAGACTACTTCTGATTCAGATATACTACCTAGTACGTCCATTACTCTACTCACTAATTTTCATCTTCCTTCCTCGAAAGCCTCTGATGGCACATGGTCAGGTCCTGCTGCTTTGCATCGTTTCCGGTTAAAACCTGCCTTCTTGACTTCACTGAGGGTTGGAGAACCAACAACAATATCCTAATCAAGTTCTGACTGGATGTTGAACAGCTGAAGCTTTGTTGTGTGCGAGTTGAAATGTGTTCCAAAGCACTGGGCCTAACGTCCCGGCCACCTGCCCTGAGTGATTATCGGGAACCGATAGTTTTCGGTGATGGTTTCACTAACCACTGTCTTCCGCTTGCCCATATTCTAAATAAACCAAAGCAACTGTCGAGTATCGACAATTGCTGATCCCTTTTCCATCTTTCTTTCGTCACCCACAACTGCTGTGATTTCTGCAAAGAATCTTAGTCAATTTAAAAACAAGCTGCTTTCACTCGTCATTGTGGTGACAGCCAGCTGGAACCAGTTTTCTCACATCAATCAGTTTGCAAGGCATTGCGAAAATCCATTCAAGTTTGCTAACTTTTGGATGTCGGTTACCAACTCTCCTAAACGCTGTTTCTACACCAAACTTAATATAACACCAGTCTTCATCACGATGAGGACTGGTGTCGCTTTCAAATAAATGCTTCTCTATCTCTAGTCTAAATACGCACTTGATGTTCTCATATTCCAACCGACCGTAGACAGACTTTGCTATCGCCTGTTTTCTGTGACCAGCAAGGTGCAAACACACACGTGCTCTTACTAACACATAATTTGAGCACACACATATACTCCAGAAAGAGCGGTAATACTCCACCGATCCTCTCTAACGATGACTTATAGAAATATGATATGCCTGTGTCCATTGTTGGTTTCATGTAGGCGAACAGTGAGTCAGTGTCGGACCTTATGCTTGAAGTCAGTGGTGGCTAGAAACAGAAGATTGTCAGAGCAAAACTGCAAGAAAATATCACCATTTTCAGTTCAAGCCGTAGATACTGTCGAAACCTCCCAGATGCAATTCAGACGGACTCAGCTTCCCTACCTGAGCGTTGAATTCGCTTACCATTATGAGCGTTTTGTTTCATGTAGAAAAATGGACTGTTTGTGGCGAAATTTATCCTTTTTATCATCCTAATTGCAGTCAGCTACAATGATAACTGCCACCTTAATTTGACGGTCGGGTTTGCATACCACAATGGCCTAACGAGCCCTGCTGCCAGTTCACTTGAGGTCCTACCATATCAGAAACGTCAGTCGGGTAGTCCTAAGATAAAAAAACAGTTACCGTTACTGTGTACATTTCGATGCTATGATAGGGGTTCGAGGGTAGTTGTGTTGGGGTTTCACATCAGTAAGACGTTTCCCTTGAATGACGGGCGGTCCCAGGCTGGTGCTGCCTTACCTGTGGGAAAAAGTTGGCCCTAAAGACAGCACACTTCCTCCTATCTTGTAGCATGCCAGTGCTAGTAATATGGGTTCGCAGTCGGATTTACAAAACTCAAAACTAACTATCGAACGTCTAAAGAGGCCGCGTGCGACCGACTTCAAGTAGATGTCCCTTGAATTCCAGAGTCAGCCACCAACTCTTCTTTTTCAGTTACCACAGGAAGAACTAGCCTTCCACGGTATGAGCAGCTGCGAAGTATCAGTCGCCGTCGCAACTCCGCCAGCACTCAAGTTTGCTCAGATCACAGTCCACCTTACACACCCTTCACTTTAATCTTCCTTCACGTCATTCGGTCAAAATTCGTACACCACGGCTCCGCAGATCTCGACAACGATATAAGGTTACGGAACAGTATTATTGGTATACTAAAACCTAGCTTCAAACTATACTCTGGAGTTTTCAGTGTCCGAACCCTCCATCAAATGGGCCAGCAAGCTTCGCTAGCCAAAACTCTGGCATCGCCGGCTCTAGACGTGTTGTGTTTATGAAACACAAATACAGGGCTTAAGTGAGGTTACTCACTTAACTCCATTCAGTTAGTAGGGTGAATCCGCAAAATTCACCCTTCGAATTTCTGAAGATTCGATGGTTAGATACCTCTGTTTTTCAGGTGTAGACATAAAATCAATTGCGAAGGCAGAAAGTGCACTACCGGAATGGGTCTCAGTTAATAGTCCCCGCGCGCTTATCGACTGAATGGTTCAACAAGGACAAAAAGGGTTACTAAAACTCTCGGTTGGCCCTGTGTCATCTCTACTTAGGCACCCACTAACTCCAATTTGGATGAAGGGAAGGATGGGTTCTCGAGAAAATTACCTTTCCTCCCACTGATAACCATACCCTCAGATATGATTTTCGTCTCAGGGGATTTCAATGCACAAGTGAGTAGACCATGTCAGGCAGAAAGGGATTTAGATGTTACCGTCGGAATCCCAGTCAAACTAGTAGATAACGGCGATCACCTGCTACAACTGTGCCCCGAAAACGTCTATTTCTGGCCAGGGTGAACTTCAGATAAGAAGAGAGGCGTTATTTGACGGGCCTCTACCCACTGCAACTCAGCGGTGGACACAGGTAGATCATCTTGTTATGTGTTATAATTAGAGAGGGCTGATGGGAGATTGCCACTCTTTCTGGACCACGTGTTTGAACTGCAACTATGCATTCGTTGGAGTAGTAATGTTA